TATAATTTTGAATTTTTAGTTATAGGGTAATAAATTTATACCCTGAAAATTTTTGGTTCACCTTCAAAAATAATTACTCATATATATACAGTATATTACAGATATGGAAATAATAAATTATACAAAAAACAATTATGTTTCTTGAAAATTTAGATTATAAAAAAAATAGTCAAAGAATTGAATTGCTTATTTGCATTCAGAATATTATATTTTCTAACAAATAGATAATTCAACAATTTAAAACTAGATAGTTTAATAAATTATTAAATACTTATATAAAATATAAACTACGGTTGAACTACGGAATTGATTAATTTACTTCGGAAGTTATAGAAGCATAATAGCGTCTTTTATTTTAACATTTTACACAAAAAAACTGCGATATTCGAGAAAATAAAAGGAATTTCCCAATATAAAGCATTACTTATTAACCCAAAAAAATGGATCAAGATCTTGACGCGAAATTTTGGTTCTCGTGTTACAATCTTCCTTGTCAGTGAATTCGAGTCTTTTTCGTTCTTTCATAAGAGTAATAGCACGTTCTTTCCCAATTTTCTCAATCCCAGTCAGCTGAGTATAAGTCGCTTTGTTAATATCTGGTGGTCCCATAGCATAATTATAGCACCTCCTAGCAAAAGGTCCAAAATATTCTTTCCAATTTTCTTTACCAATAATAGCAGACATTGGGTTCCGAAGCTCAAGTCCCTTGCAGGATGTTGATGTATATAAAATAAAAATATCCCCTTGACTTGTTACTTTTTTATGTTCATTATCAAATTTTTGTTAAGAAATGCTATTTTTTAACAATTTGCATTGGTGTGTTTCCATTTGTAGTTGACCAGTATTTGCCATCTTTATTGGACAAAAGCTATCAGAATATTTAGCATTAGGTGCGTTGATCACAATTTGATTTGCTTCTGCAATGTCAACTTCTTCAGTCTGACACAAAATTTTTGTATCTTGGTTATAATCTTCAGACTTGGTGCTGACCCTCCTAACTGAATGTGTTAATGTAAGATTTCAATTGTATATCATGGAATTTTTGACAAAGTTATGCTTTGCGCTATCATGAATAGTACAGGGATCAACTTGTTGTCCATCATCATAGACATATAATTTTAGAGAGCGAAATTGTGCAACAAAGTACTCAAAATGTTGCCAGTATTGGCAGCCAGGTGGGATACTAGGTTCTCCACTTCTGTTAAACACCTCTTTGTAGTAAGCAAAATCCCAATTCCGTAACAAGAGATCATTTGCATTCATATGGTTTGCATGAGCCATAATCCATAACCAAATGTATGGACATGATAGATGACCAACAACTTGATTAGGATCTGAGCTTTCGAACCGAATAAGTCCAAACCGTATCAAATGATCTATTTTTATTGAGTTTCCCTTAAGTCCAGTGATAGTATCATGTTTATTAACAGGTACGTGTGATAGAATAATGCGGAGCGTAGGTTTCAGATAATCAGTATTACTCAGCCATCCTGAATAATTATGTATAAGGGTCGATCGCACATCATTTATTAGGTCGATAAAATTGACTTCGCTCAAATCTTTACCATCAAGTACTTCTCCCAAAGCCTCCAATGCACGTCCATGACCTTCTATATCATCGACGAACATCCTTGTTACTGGATCATTAGCAAAAACCGGACTGTTGTTTATTTTTGGAGGTTCCAGTGATGTAGTTGGAAGAAAGATTCTTAATTGAGTTGAACTGGCATGGAAATCGTAAATGGGCATGCTGATGGTAGCCATACAACAATTAATAATAAATGGACCAGAAGTCGAAAGGATGCAAAGTGCAGAGATGCAATCATAAAAAAAAGACTCTTTATTTTTTTTATAATCGAAGTTACTCAACGCCACCTGAAGCCCATCCAGAATAATAACTACGTTCAGATCATTGAATTTCTGATTGTGATGTTTGGCAATTCTATGCAATACACCTTCTGGTGTTACACTATATTGATCCTTAAAATCATTCCAAGATTCATTGGGCTGTTGTAACAACTGAAAGAGCATTCGATTACCAATTGCACGAGAGTTATCGGTTTCTAATGACCGAATGTATCTGGTCCCATTTTCAAATGATAGATTAAATACAAAAGCAGACTTTAGTCGATTCTGTAAGTCAACATTATCATTTGTATATTCGATCAACAAATTCGACAATTCCTGTGCAGTGCGAGATTTTCCTTCGCCAGCTCCTGCTAGAATGAAGTATTGTGGTATTTTGACTTTATCAAGTTGTCCAGCCTTCCAAAATTTGAAATGATTACGAATAGCATCCTTAAGATTTTGTTTCAAAGCTTCTGAGGCTTGAAAGTCCCAAGAAGAACTACTGCCCTTGAGAAGAGGTTGGGGATCACGATATTTTAATGTTTCAGGCAGGTTTTGTGCTGGAAAAAGAAAGAAATCAGATATTTTGTTTCTGCAAATTTCTTGTGAGAGAGGTAAAAACATTGAGAGACACTTACGAGTGATGGCAGGCGGTGGTAGTTGTACGATAATTCGGATATTACTAGTGGACTTGTGAAAATATGCTTCGATGGTTTTGAATGGAGATAAAATTACACCTTGGTATTGTTCTTTGATATTTTCGGCGTATATTTTGGTTTCCAGATCTTCATCCTTGACAGGAATATTCATACTCCATATATTCAGTTTGTCAGTGTCAATATTGGAAAAGGTGTTTTCCTTCTTTTTAATGAGTTCCTTGAAATGCCCAATGGTCATGCCTTCTTTAACATCAACCGGGAAAGAATTCTCAATGGCATCATCTAAAACGATGCAAAAAATCTGGAAATTCATTAAAAATTACTTATAAAATTATATAATTTGTGAAATTTTAAAATATCATGATTTCTCCGGTAGCAGATAACATTATAAATATAAGTTACGAAGTTCAAAAAATGGTTAGAGTGTTTTAAAATAAAAAAATGTTTCAGTTCACGGCACGTAATCTGGTGTATTTATAAATAAATTTACAGTGATATTAGCATTTTCATATAAACAATAATGATAATTACATAAAGTTTGGGCTGTAATCCGACTTACCGAAAAAACTATATATAAGGAGACCAATAGGAAATAGCACTTCGCAAGTAGAAAAAATTATCATATCACGGTCTGAAGAAAAATAAAGCATACTAAAAATTCTGTGAGTTTACATCGTAATAGATATAATCAGCTACGTAATCGATAATCCGATACGATCACCGATTTTCCAGGCGGCCCCCAAAAGTTCGGGTCTCGTGACAAAAAATGCCATAACCCAGTCCAAATTGTGGGTCATATGATAAATGACGCACGAATTTAAGATAATGTCTTCGTTAGAGCTTAATCGTTGATGTTGAATTTTAGGTGTATGATTATTTGAAAATTCCAGCATCAGTTTAATAAATCTCTCGTACAAAAGTGTAACTAATCTCGGCGAAAAACGCGATCGTGATATTTCTAATGTCCGTAAATACAAGAAAACATTCTTTTTAATATATAATCTCATCATTATGCTTAAATTAATTAGCATATCAAAAGTATGTAACAATTAAATTGGATTAATTTTTATTAAAAATAAACATTCTCTAAATTTAAAATAATTTAAAGGCTTTGGAGTTAACTATTTCTGCTATCAAAAAAAAATTTACGCATGTACAGTCTCCCCAATAAATGAAGGATTACTTAAAAATCATTCAGAAATAATTGTCATATATTAAACCTTTTATTTTATTAATAAAAACAATTTTATGTACTAAGTAAATTTATTTCTCATAATGAATTCTATCTATGTTGAAATTTTTATTAAATTTGGATAAACTTTTATTATTACATTTAATGATTTTTTTTTGAATAAAAGTTTTAATATTTATTTAATTATAATTATTATTTTAACAAGCAATTTAATATTAAGTTTCATAAATTTTTATTTGATAAAATGTACAATCTTTTAAAAATACTAGAATATTTAAAAATTATTATATTTAATCAAAAATAGTTTTTATATATAAAACCTTTTATTTTAGACCTATGGGTCTATAGCTCAGTGGTAAAGCTCCATAGGTCACCAGATGAAGGTCTAGGGTTCAAATCCGCCTGGTTACAAAAAATTTATCACAATTTCTTCTTAATTAGGCTGTATGAAGGTGGGACTTCTGGCCTTTCCAGTGGTTACGGGATTGCAACAGACCACATAAGGAAAGGATTGCACAAAGAAAGACTTCTGATCTAATTCCAGTTAAACTCCACAATACATCACACAAAAACACAACATCAAATTTGGATGTACAGACTGGACTGTACTCCATCTTAACCAATCCCATTCGTTCATATAGAGGTTAATCCTAGTCGATCAAGGTCACATAAAAAGAAAATAACCAGGATATATTGGATTAATTGCTTCAAAAATGGCTATCCTGCACCTACACAGCCCTATAACCTGCTAGAAGTTGGTGCAATCCAGATCGGTGGCCCATTGAGAAAGAGTAGGGCCATTAAGCTGAAATGGAAACCACTGGGAAGGTTTTCACTTGTAAAAAATAGAACAATATACTATAATAATAATAAAGCAAAAACAAATATATTATTAGAATGACTGGAAGTTTAAAATACTCATATTTTAATTACTCATGATAAAGCTTATTTTATGCTAATAATAATAATTATCTTTTTGAATAGAAAATAATAAATCTATTATCAAAAAAAAAAGTCAAGAATTTGCAATTATGATTAACAATTTTTTATATTCATATTATGGTTTTTTATGTCTTACAGAAGCTAATGTTATATAACTTGAATTAAACCAAGAGGCTCAAGTTATTATTAAGCCAGGACAACAAGTTGATGGTTACTGAAAAGTAAAAATAAGATTAAACAACTTTATGAATAAACAATTTCAATTTTTAATACTACTGTATTTATTTAGGACACATAAATATAATTTAAAAAACTAAAAAGCTAGCTAAAAAAAATTAATCAAGATCATTCCTAACAAACCTCATCTAGTAATACTATCATCTTTCAGTTGGATGTTTCCGAAATTGACAAAGATTCGATTAATTTTCGTGAGTTACTGTATGTATATAATAAGATTACCAATGCCGAAGATAATAATAAAAAAATTACCTATATAAATTATGGTTTGATCATTATATAATACAAAAGTTAACGAATTTATATGTAAGATAAACTTATCAACACCAATCTTCAAAAAAGAAATGAAAGAACTAATAGGTAGAATTAAAATTTTTAATATAACCTTTAGGGGATAAAGTTTTTATCACGGGTAAATTTTTAATTCTAAATTTTCCACGTGATTGCTGTGACTTTAATTAATTACACGGGTAGATCAGTTTTTACTGAAAAAATTTTCTCGCGTTTAACGCGTTTAACTTGACATTTATGCACCTCCTTCCTGAATGTTTTAAAGCAGTGAGATGCCCTGGTAAGATAAAATTTATTATTCATAATCTGTGCCGAGGTTCTTATTATTTATAACATAATTTATCACTTTAGCTTTTTGGGAGAGTACGGACGAGCCTTCGCTTAAAAATTTTTTATATTTTCGACTTTCTGCCGGCGAATTAACAGACGTGGAAACTGAGTACCATATCTACAAGCAAGAGCTGAGTGAAATCAGTAAATTCTATTCTGAAATATCTGAGATTGGACAAGAAGTGCTAAGGTGGAAAAATGCTTTCAAGGAAAGTAAAGTGTACTATTTTAGATTAGGATGAGTACACCAACTACCCTACAACCTGCGCGATTGTAGTGGGAACGACTGCGTGTCTGTTGGTGAGCTATACTCCACGAATCACCTTGGGACCCTTAGTACCATTGAGTACACCAACTACTCTACAACCTGCGCGATTGTAGTGGAACGACTGCGTGTCTGTTGGTGAGCTATACTCAATGGGCTTTGGGATCCACGGTGCTCGCGAAAGATAGTTAGTTATTCAATAATTGAATACAGTCTGGGTGCTTGATTGTTCGTGATGTTTCCTACTCTTGTTTGCACATAAATTGGACCAATTATCAAGTCTATTAGTCGTAGATACTTAGAGTTTCTGTTTATTATCGCTTATAGGGAAGCAAACGGTCGTCAGCAATAAAAAATTTTTGGAAACTTCAAGAAGAAAGACAAAATATAATGGCGAGAAACAAGTTGATTGAAGATAAAGTAAAGTTGCAAGAGGAAAAAGCAAAGGCAAGGGTTCTGAAGTTGCAGGTACTTCACTTTTCTCCCCACAATCTTACATGATAGACCAAAAATTCACTCTTGGTTCATTTCCCGTACACAGACAACCCAACATATAACTATTGCCACAGCAGCTACAGAACAGATTCAACAATATGCCACGTCAACTACCACTAGCATCGCGAAGAGATTCCTCGATAATGATAACAAAAAAACAACAAAACGTACTAGAAATCATAAGGTAATAAAGGTGATAACTGTTATTATGTTTTATTGTTGTGGGATACGTTTTTAAGCTTGACCACTAACAAATTCTTATTGATTACTTTTTGAATACGAACAGGACCAGTCAGATGAAGATGACTCTGAAAGTGACGACCGTGACTGCCTCACTGATAGTGAAAATTCCTCCACGGTAATGATGTGTTACTTTGTTTTTAGCTATACCTTTATTTTCAATTGTGCACTATATTCTGCATCTGTCAATTATTTTGTGCTTTTAGATGACCCATAAGAATCAGAAGCGTGCAAGATCCCAAAGCGGGTAAGTACAAAATGCAATTCTTTACGATATGTACAGCCTGCAATAATTCTTGTTATCCCAGCCTATTAGATAGAAATGACATGAGAGATGGTAAGAAGTCTTTTTTTTTTTGTTTGTTTAGATATCTGGTTCATAGCTTTTAGCTCACCTGTTTATTACGCAAAAGGAAATCGAACTCTACCCCACCAAATCATTGGAAACCCTTTAAATTTGGATAACTCTCAATCCTCAAACATATCAAACAGTGAAAGCATCCTTAAAGCATCCGCTAAGAGTCTAGCAAATCTGGATGAGGTTAAGGTATTTGTTTTGAAAATCTCACCTGTTGGCACGTGTGGTAAATACTAAATGGTTTTCTTTGATCAGTATTTCGGAGAATTAATTCCACTTTTCGAAAAATATAAAGAACAGGAAAAACATAATATATACTCGTAAGTATTAGAACTTCATTATTTTAAATGAGAGTGTACCATATAGTGCTATGTGAACCTTTACTTTATATATTCTCAATGTATAGCTGTACCAACGACGATGTTATGGACATCCGAGGTGACAGTGGTTTCGCGAAATTTTTGACAATCGATCAATATACAAAACTGCTTTCTGTACGACCAAAAAGAAGCGCCGTGCTACCGGAATGTTGGTGTAGAGTTATAGAGGAATATTATATGGTAATTACATGATTCATATTTATTATTAACAAGTTACAAAACAGTTATTCATAGATTACATTGCATTATTATGTAGGAGTCATTAACTGAAGGCGGACCAAAGAAAACCATTACTGATTGGGTTCGCATCACAGATGCATTGATGGTAGGCGAAGATGGAGATACCGAGGAGGTGAAGAGGCTTAAAAAGTATCTGTATCGAGTAATGTTACCTTTGTAAGTATTCATTAATGTTTTATTATCATTTCACTTCCTATTGTAACTAATATTCCACGTCTTATCTTGTGTTATAGAATCGAATCATTCCTTAAACCTATTCCGGACATTAATGCTCCAGACAGTAGTGAACATCACTATTGGTCAGAGTTTGGACATCATTTTTTCTCTAAGGCTTTACAAGAATTTGCAGGACTAGATTGGCGAGCGTAAGTATTGGGTTTAAATAGAAATATCCTATCACTATTTTCAATTAGATCTTATTTGAAATTTATTCTTTTATTCTTATCAGCATGGATGTTCCTGTATCTGCATCTAAATACAGAAAAAACTATGGGTTTGATCATGCAATACATAAAATAGTTGAAGGAAATTCTGCCGATCTATTGGCTCGGTCTTGGGGGACGGGGGAGGAAATTTTTGTTGGAGAGCAAGCAGGGCCTCCTACTAAACCTGATCTTACAAAGCTCTCTATGGATTCTTTCAAATTATATCGAGAATTGAGAGATTGCCTGAATGTTCGCATATTACATGCAATGGAAATCGGGGGTGTGAACTACAGTAATCGTGCTGTATTTGGTATACTTGGATATTTGTTCGAAATCAAGATGTTAATCATGTGGAAGGATGGTGTATATGTATATGAGGAGTTTGGGAGTTTCACTGTCGCTTCTCATTCGAGAAAGATTCATACTATGAAAGCGGGTATATTAAAATTACTGGAATTCATCGTAAGTTATATTTATCTTTACATCTTTTGATTTTTCAGTTATTCATTCTAAATTAATTGTGTAGATGGTCATTAAGGCGGAGTTAGAAAGTAATGTGAAAGTAGAATATGATGACAAAGTTCAGATTTTGAAAAGAAAGTTTAGTGACATTATTCAAACAAAGCTATCACCATTAAAGGTCTCAAAGGTTAAGTGAATCTAGAAAGCATTGAATGGTATTTTTTTCCTGTATAAGCAATATTTTTCTAGCATTTTTTCTTCATATCCTGGTTATATATTTACAAAGTGTTATATAATTATTACCGTTTCATTAGCTATTAATTTCATATATGTTGGATCAGGATTGATAAAAATGTGATTCTAATTCAGACGGGTACAGATGCGAATAGTCATGGTTAATTTTATCTTACGTAATTATATGTAAGAGCATAGGTCGTGTAATTAATTAAATTGGCGCTTTTCTGAGACCGACTGGTCCCGCAAAATTTAATAAATGAATTTAACTTCGGTACTTAGTACAATAAAAAGATTTTTGAATGAATGCGCTTTCTATATAGAACAATGTCGAACATCCAATCCAAAATCGATTCGTTACAAGAATTTAAATTCGAAGCTTTTGGCTGAGATTTCTGAACTTAGAAAGGAGAATGCTGAGGTCAAGGCCGAGAATACAAAATTGAAACAAGATAAAGAAGAAATCGAGGCCAGACCAGAGCATAAGGACAAAGAAAAGTCGATCCTTAATACTAAATTGCAACACAGTGTTTCATTAATCAAGGGATAAAGCATACAAGATAAGTGTCATCAAACTGTCACTAATATACAAAATGCATTTTCTACGAAAGACGTTATTAAAGAGACAATTCAGAGCATTAAGGAGAAGTTTTTTCGAACTCAAGACTTAGTTGTTCAAGATACTTCAGAGTCCCCAAGTTATCATATGATGCAAAACCCACTAGAATTGTTGAGGATCGAAATTCAGGATTCTTATATAATATAAAAAATGAAAACCCCAAGCTGTAGCCAAAATATTATCACTGATTATCAACTGCGTGACCCCGGGCCTCGCCATCATATACCTAAAGTTTCATACGATCCAATGTCTCACATCAATATAATTACAAACGATTCCACGCAAAAGACTTCAATCCAGAAAGATAGTCGGATTGAGATGGAAAAATTTAAACAAGAATTGTATTTAGCACCTATTTCAGAGGAAAAAATCGAAGTTATTAGTAGAGATAAAGAGCCAGGTATGCCAATTCACTTTGAAAATGACAAGCATGTCTGTATCGAAAAACAAGGAAGGTCAAAAGAATACTGTAGGGTTGATGATATCTTATTTATTTGCCGAAATAATAAAATTGCAGACGACTTGGCAAGTTTATGATGAAATCTGGGATTGTCTTTTTGGCATCTCATGGGAAAATTTTCACAAGCAAACTCAAAGAGCTTACAAGATTTATAAATTATTTGACAACACAAGAATAGAAAAAATCCAACGGGTTAAATCTTATAGTACCAACAGGATATTAAAATTCACTAACCCTCAAATTCAACATAGTATAGATTATTTTGCCAATAAAAAGGTTACAATGAAATGTCAACCGCGCGACCCCGGGTCCCACCCTTATATAACTAAATTTCCATCTCAAATACAGTAATTTATCGAAAATTGAGGTACATGTATATACAGTACGTCTATCGAATCCCAGATCACTAACCCTTCTGACTCAAAAAATTTATCGGGAGCCAAGGAAAGCACATTATCTATATCTCAAACCGAAAAGAAAGCTTTCTAGTCTATAAATTCCATTTCGCAAACCATTATCCACAAACTTCAATAATCTTGTGAAAAAGAAGAGGTTCTATCTCAAATCCCTCAATTGCTTTCCATTAAAGAAAGAGCAAACACAAGTTATCTAAGACTTTATGAATAAGGTCCCATCTATACATCTCGAGAATACTTTAATACAATGAGAAAAGAAAAGTTATATTTTTGGATCTGTAATTTGATGATACTAGTATTCTTGAAGAAATGACTTCTTATAATTATGTAAAAACCTGACTCTAATATCTGAACACGAATCAATTATCAATTATTCCTGGTCAAAGTTTAATTACAAAATAATTCGACATATGATCTGACAAGAATATCTATTGGTTAATATATATTTTAAATACTCTCATATTTCAAATTACAAACAATGATTTATATTTGTATATCTCATTACAATCAATATACATGCATATTTTTTTTATTTTGATCACAAATATTCTCTATCGAATATAACAAATATAATACTTTTGAAAAATGACTTGAGAATTCAATCTATATTAAAAATAAATCCAGATATTCCATAGTATAAAGTTATGAAATCCAATACAGGAGGTCTAAACTCTTAAATTTGATATACGTAATCACAAACTTATAAACATTATAATTTATTTAATTATTAAATGTGATTTATACAGATAAATGTTCAATTTTAAATGAAGGGATAGTTGTCAATTTCCAATAATTCATAAGAATGAAACTCTATCTGATTGAAAAAATAAATTAATGGTTTATAAAAATATTGATTGATAATAAAAAACGATATCTTATTGTTAAACCTATGGGTTTATTGCTTAGTGATAATACTGCATAGGTTATCTAGGGCCCACCTGGTTACAAAAATATATCACAAATTCTCAATTAGATTATATATAGATAGAATTTTTGTCTGATAATCACAAGGTTGTAATAAATTATAAAAAGAAAGAATATCAGAATGGCTCTCAATAAGTGGTGAAATATCTTTTGTAGGAGATGGCTCCTGTTTATTAGTAACGGCCTGCGTCTGTTTCTGTTCTAATTTCGTGATTCTATCTTTAAGCTCAGTATTTTCTTCCGCGGTTCCAATTTGGCGACCCTGACTTTGAGCTCAACATTCTCAGCTTTGCGTTTGGCGCTCTCTTACATAACTTGTTTTAAATGCTCGGCATTCTTGGCTTTGAGATTAGCCTTTTCAGCTTCAAGTTCAGAAATTTGTTGCTTTAGTGAATCAATCTCGGATTGCATGTTTTAGTAATAGATTATACAGTATATATCCAATTAATTATCAAAAATTTCGGCGACAGCCCGTCGTCAAAAAATATATTTATAAATAGAAGTATTACGATACTTAAAATTAACCACGAATCATGATTGCATTTGTAATTGAAAGGAGCGAATATATAACCATTTATTTTGATTCATACTATGTAATGATCAATAGTTATGTACAACGCAATAAACAAGATACCAAAACGTTTATATGATCGCATTACAATTTGACAATGTCATTACACATTTAAATTACTTATGCAGTATTAGAAAATGTTCTCATTAAATGATTTATTAAAAACATTTTGACAAAATGTCAGTCACTTTTCTTTTTTTTTCGTCTACTGGTTGTACTTTCTTTTTTTCGGGCGTCAAATCAGTTAGTGTAATGAACAGGTGTGCATTTCATTATTATCGGGTATACGGGTACACGCATCATGAATATATTTTCTCAGGTCGGCCAAACTTTTTCCAAGCAATTCCTAATGACAACAATTGAAAGTTTGTAAAAAGGCAGATCTCTTTATTTATAATTAATAAACGTGCGTGCATCAGTAAAAACAAACCTTGAATTTAAGTAACACCGACACAGATCGTAATATCAAACCGATCTCAACTTCATTCGTGGGTAATTTCGATCGCATAACTTCACAAAAAACGTACAATCCGCGAAACGGAATCGACATCTCGTACACAATTACTTCATTATCTGTAAGAGAATGTCAGTTTTATATATAATATTGACAATTTTCAAAGTTGGCAATACTTACAATACACATGTAGGCCATACAACTTTACTAAACTCAAATCCATGCCCGTTCCACCATACTTCACAATCCTATTTATAATAACTTTTAACATTTTCGCAATTTTAATCTTATCTTTAAAGAAATGTGAATGATCGAGTTGGTTCGGTGGGCCACTGATTTCTCCAATAGAGAATTCCAGATCGGTTAGCTTCATAGACCAT